GTCTGAAAAAACCTGCATGTGATTTGGCATTTCTTTATATTTACAGTATACTAATTCTGCTCAAATGTGCCATTAATGTACTGACACAAAAATATATAGTGTATTTTTAGTGTAACAAATATAACTGATGTAAATGACAAAAACAAAGTTTAAGGCTGATGTCTCTATTCATTTTCACAGAAGCAAAGCAGCTGATGTTATAAATAAAAACAGTTAACAATGTTATTGAATAGAATATATTAAATCCGTTATTGCACGACATAGGCCTATTCTTCTAGGCTACACAGACAAAACAGTCGGAGATGCGTTTATGCGTTTTTTTTTTCTATTTTACGGATTAGTAGTAAATCAAGACTTCGCAAGTTCTCTTGTAAAATAAAATAATAAAAACAACATGGAATAAACTGTGTACAGAAAGCGAGTAAATAACTCTCAACATTAGGCTACTAAAAAGGTCAGTTTAATCTCACAGAAACTCCCGTTAATAAAAAATATGCACAATTAATCTCTTACACTGCATCTTTGTTGTTTATGATGAATTCGGTGCTTGCGCGTACAGCGCTTTTATTATTGCAGCTTAGATGTTCAAATAGCTGCAGTACTCAGTCTTCGCCACAAGGAAAAGTGCGTACGCCTGCTCAGACCCTGACGTAGCGGTAAGTAGGCTACTTTTCCACGTCAAAGACCGTTTTTATAAATATGAACGTTGCCGTGGATTTTAGCGTACGCACACCGGTAAGTAGGCTACTTTTCCACGTCAAAGACCGTTTTTATAAATATGAACGTTGTCGTGGATTTTAGCGTACGCACACCCTAAGATCAAATCTGTGCTTACGCACATTTGATAAATGAGGCCCCAGGTGAGAGTGGTTCTCAGTGCTGCCGACTTGCATTTCTTTCGTAAAATATAGGTTTGTGTATGTTTTATGTAATCTATAAAACCGTTTTTTTTTGCTGTAAATAATTTTATTTTATGCAAAACAACGATGTCAGTCACCTGAACGATTCGCATCGGTCTTTCCGTGACTATTAAATGAATGATTCATTTTTACTTCTAAAATGCTTGTTAAACGCGTTTAAAGGTAATAAATAGCGTGTGTATATATATATATATATATATATATTTATTTATTTAAATGCTAAAATATATTGTATTAAGAAATGTATTTAACGAAAATAAAGGCAATTATCCTGTAAAGCTGTGTTTGTGTGGTATATTTTTAATTTTGAGGATTTAATTCTGTTTATGAAGTAAAAAGCTAGTATTTTTTGTAAACAAACAATAAACAAAGAAATAAAAGAGAATTCGCTATTGTTCCACATTTCCAATTAAGCACGAAGCTTCCCCTCCCCTCACACACAAGCACAAACAAATCAGTATCCACCAATTACAGTAGTAGTTTATTGCCGTGGAAATAAACCCCCCAAAACCTGGCATGGATAACACACATAATTAATTTATTTGATTTATTATCATTTTATATTTAAAGGGGACAAAGATATTGACATAACCATTATTATACATGCACCAGCTTCTTCACTGGCGCGTGAGGAGGGGGATCCGCCAAATGAGGTGCTGGCTCCGGATCCGCCTTGTTCCGGCACAAATTAAACCCTGGGTATGGATAGTTTGTCTGTTAAGATCTCCTGCCAAAGTCTTAACCCATTTTGGATTCCTATTAAAAAAAAATGTAAAAAGAAACCTGCTAATAAATAAAATGTTTTATACAAAGCAAACCCATGACAAAGATAAGCAATGCTTCAATTTAAAGCAATAAGCATATGTAGTGTCCAAAGCACAAGGCAAAATTAAAAACCTGACAGAATTCGGTTCTTGTAGTTGGATAGTTCATTGTATGTTTGTGTGGGAGAGCAGAGTGGTCTTAGTTTTGCATCAGGATGCCATGTAAGAAGAGTAAAGGCAGCCCAGACAGCAACATAGTGTTGGCCCAGATCCGGCCCACATCTGGCCCAGATCCGGCCCTCATCTGGCCCATGTGAAATCCATGCGGGCCAGATGTGGGCCGGCTCTGGGCCGAAACTGTCTGCTGTCTGGGAGGTAATTTGGTTCTTTGGTGCAAACAGTTGCTATGTGGCCAGTTCAGTGAATTAGTGCTGTGGATCATGGAGAATTATGAAACGCTTAACACCATTTTGAATGAAGGTCTGTCAAACTGTGGTTCCACAAAAGGTGAAAATGAATTGTCTGGCCTCAGTTGCTTCCCTGAATTGGCTAATAACTTTAGAAAGGCTGCATGGGATAATGTGGCTCAACACCAGGTTAAACATATAGGCTCTGAAGCCATGCTAAGCTTTGTTCTGGTGGCCAGGTGATAGACACTATGAAGTAGTCCCGTTTTTTCCTTCCGCGGTGCTGTCATAGAAGAAGTCCTCATTGACAACAGAGGTCAGGCTCTGCACACTGAACTCCTTCTCCAGTAGCGAGTTAAGGTCCACGCTATTTGCCATTGTCTCTGTCTGCATGTCCAAAATGTGGCTATGTCGACGCATGTTCAGTAGGGCCACCTGGCTGTGTCTGAGGCTACTCGTGCCTCTGCCAGGCTTGCGTTTTAGCGCGCTGAAGTGAGCTCGCTTTATAGCAGACTGCCTTTCTGGAGTGTCCACTTCTTCGCTCTCTGGATGCACATGGGGAGCAGATGCCTGGGAGGCCTCCTCGGTCAGCCGAAGCCTGCAGAACTGGGTCTCAATTGCACTGGGACAGTCTGGCCACTGCTGGTCATTGGTCTCATTGTCCTCATCACTGATGATGTTGGATTCTTTGAAGCCGCTCTGCTGCGGGCGAGATGGCTGATCCAGGTGAGCGCTGGCACTGCTGATGGTTCCACTGCTTACACTGGCTGAATCTGAATCTGGTAGAGACAGCCCCAGAGGATCATTGTTGGGGCTGGAACTGTCATTTGAAGGCTGCTTGGAGAGCAAAAAGGCTCGGGAAGAACCTGTGGGGCACAAATGAACGCAGTCATAAATGTTAAGATCTTGTATAAGATGTATTGTTGATGTACAGCATCTCTGATGAAACACTGCATTGACAGACACCTGGGTACTTGACAGACACCCTATTTCTATTCTTAACTTGCTGCACAGCAACTCAAATCACTTTGTTTTGACACTTTAGAGTGAATGGATTGCTATGACCGCTTTTTAACCAATGAATTTCCCTTGGAAGTCTAGTCTCGAGATTATAGCTGAATGTTGCGTGGTAAGTAATGTGCAGCTTCAACACTTCCACGCATCACAATGTGACGCATCTCAATGTTGGCCACTTCCATTGTATCCCAGACTTGTACGTAAAGGGGAGATCACACTGACCTAGCTTAGCAGAAGCTGGCAGAGTTTTTCGAAGGGGAGTTAGTCGCTTTTTACATGTTCTCTCAGGCTGTTGTTCAACTCTTTGCATGTTTCGACGCAAGTTCTCCCGCAGGATAGAGCGAATCACTTTGATGATATTCCCTTTGCATTCTGGGGTACTGCAAATGAGAGAAAATGTGAGATGTTAAAATCCGTATGGAATAAAATGGGACACTAAGTTTTTAAATGGCCAAGTAGGCAATTCCAACCTGCTACACAACTGGAACACCATCTCAGGCCTGCCCTCTTTCTGTGATTTGGTGTGGATGAGCTCCCAGATGCAGTCTGTGTCTTCAGACAGCATGACAACACAAAAGGTTGATTATTTGTACATGTGGAAATGACTTTTCATTACTACTGCCTCTATGAGCTCAAACAAGCCAGAATGAGTCTCTTACCCAATGCATTTCCCAGTTTAACTTGTAGTGCTGACAGGGGAATGAGCCAGCGAAACTTGAATGGATCCTGCTCTCCATGGGCTGATTTTGAAGTTGGCTAGCAAACAAAAGCATGATATAAAAAGACTTATTTTGTATTTTAAAAA